TGTGTGTGTGGGTGTGTGTGTGTGTGTGTGTGTTGCTTCCTCCCCTGCAGGTTCTGACGGGAACAGCATGGATTCAGTAGATAGCTGTTGTGGCCTCCGGAAGACTGACAGTTTCCAGAATGCCCAGCCAGGCTCCAACCCAAAGAAGGTCGATCTCATCATCTGGGAGATTGAAGTGCCAAAGGTAAGGGTGCTGTATCCCTATGAGCTGAGTTCTGTCACAAGTGCAGAGCTTCCCTGGGCCCAGGGCCAGCAAACTTAGGGGCGGGGGCCAAGGAGGGGGGACAGTAAACAGGAAGGAGCCTCTGAGAGAGCCAGAGGCTAAAAGAAAGGGGACACCACACTTTGCCCAGGTTCAGAGAGCTTCCTGCAGAGTAGAATTGCTCCAGTGCCTTCAGGAGCAATTCTTATCCTGAAACTTGGGCCTGTGGCTCTCCCCCAGGACTCTGCTTGGGCTACGCTTTGGGCTACGCTGAAGCTCAGAACTGTTGGAAATACTAGCAAAAACCAGACCAGGCATTGAGGCAGCCAGATTCCTTTTATTCTGCTTGAACTTTTCAGCGTGAAGTGTGTTTTATAATTGAGCAAAGCATCAGTCCACATTTTAGAGAACTTGAAAGTTACAGAAATTTATGAGGAAAATAAGAAGCAGCCCAAATCCTGCCCCTGAGAGTGTCTTTGATGACTTCCTTCTTTTCTACGTTGTACCCTGTGCTTTTTAAACAAAACCAAGATTATGTTGCTTTAATTAGTACTTTTAAATATTTAACATTTTAATTTTCCTGTTATCCTTTGGAAATGTAATTTTAACTGCATTATTCACTGGGTACTGTCAATTTAGTTCACCAGTTCCCAATTCCAGGATGTTTAAGTAGTTTCTAGCTTCTTGCCATTTTAACTTACAAATTATTAGCTTGATCTTTGTGTGTCTCTGGGGCTCAGAAGTAATTGGCAACTGCATTCTCCCAGGGCCCTCAGCTCCATGCTGAGGTGGAGACTTGCCTTGCTCTGAACTCTGGGTCAGGATGGCACTTTGGACCCTGGCTTGGTAGCTTCCTCCCCAGGTGACCCCGTCCGCCTGCCTGCTCTCTTCTCCTTCAGTGTCCCAAAGGGCACATTGAGACAGCTGTGGGCAGGCAGAGACCACATCTCTAGAGCTCTGCTGGGTCGTTTGGGATTGTTTTGGAGCTAGTCTTACATCACGGCTAAGTTTGGCTGCTGCCGTCCGCCTTGAACTCTGGTGCACTGGGCACCTCTGCATGCCTCATGCTCTGAAGACTCCAGCCTGCTGTTGCTTGGCAGCAGGAGCCCCACTGTTCTTAGACTTTCCTTTTCAAATTGAGCTTTATCATGGGACCCGAGTAGACTTGAAGAAGCGTAATAGGAATCTTTGTTGACCTTTAAGCTGACTTCTCATAGCGTGTGCTCTGGAGAAGAAGCTACCTTTGCTACTCTCTGGGTCTGGGTCACATTGTCAGGGCTGAGGTGGGAACTGCTGGATCCTGAAGCCAGTCTGCTTGGCAGCTGCGTGACCTTGAGTGAGCCCCTCAGCCTCTCCGGGCTTGTTTTTTCACTTGTAAAAGGGTGATAAGGTTATCTGTTTCACAGGCACTATGAGTAAATGCAAATACCTAGAAGAGTCTTAGCAAATAAATACTGACATTAACAGCTAATATGTTTGAGCTTGACCTAAAAACAGACGTAGATCTTTGGATTATAGGAAATTGATTTTTGTTAACCCTTTCCTATGTTTCCCTGGAAGCACTTGGTCGGTCGGTTGATTGGCAAGCAGGGAAGGTATGTGAGTTTTCTGAAGCAGACCTCTGGTGCCAAGATCTACATCTCAACCCTGCCTTATACACAGAACATCCAGATCTGCCACATAGAAGGTCAGTGCCAGCAGGGGCACGCTTGTGGTTTTTGAACTTGCATATAAGGAGAGGGATGCGTCTGAGTCCCCACTGCCGTCTTTTCAGAACCTGAGTCTCTGAGTAGAGAACCTAGTTTGCTTCTCCTGCCAGGTGAAGGTAATGTTAGCATCTTCCCTTTAGCCTTCCCCTCAGTCCAAGTGCTTGAAGGAGGCTTGGGTCCTTCCCAACCAGGTCCCTATCTAGGAGAGGTGTGGGGCTCCGGGCAGCTCACAGTGCCACTACCCCAGCAGAGCTTGCTCACAGAGCAGAGGTGGCCTGTGTGTGACGCCTGCTGGTAGATGAAAGCTGGACCTTTCGCCATCCGCTAGCCTCTTACCGCATTCAGAGCAAGGATCATAATGACAGAGGTTTCATTTGGAAGGTGAATGGGTTTAGATGCCTTTCTTTCTAGAGCAAAGCTTAGCATCTGGCACTTTAAAGATGTATTTGAACTCCTAAAAAAGTCCTGTGGAGTGGGATGTGTGGGTGAGTTTGTCTGTGCTGTGAGTTCTCTCTTACCCACAGTGACTATCGTCCTGCCCCTACCCCCCACTTAGGCTCTCAGCATCATGTAGACAAAGCGCTGAACTTGATTGGGAAGAAGTTCAAGGAACTGAACCTCACCAATATCTACGCCCCCCCATTGCCTTCACTGGCGCTGCCTTCTCTACCGATGACGTCCTGGGTGAGCATGCGTCTTGCACCCTTCCTCCTCGAACCTACCCCAATAAGAAGCTCCCCAGGCCATGGTCTAAGAAGGCTGAGAGCACATGGCTGCCTGTGCCTTCTCACCTCTGCTTCCAGTGGTCCATTCTATTAGCCTGTCCTCCCTGGGGACAAGGACAGAGGACGAAGTGCTGGCAGAAAGCCAGAGGCCTTTTGGTCCCCATGTGAAAGGACCCTCCTCCTGGCCCTGTTACTTTTTGTGTTTTCTAGGCTTTTGCCTTGAAAGGATTATAGGTCAGCCAGCAACCTGGTGTGTCCAGACAGGTATGGGGCTCCTTCGAGCTACTGCTGTGTCCGGGGTCACTGCCCAACACGAAGCTTGGTGCCAACACCCCACTGCCATGGATTTGGCTGGGGCTTGTGTGGTGGGGCTTTCTGGTCCTTTCTCCTAGTTGAGCTGGGCTGAGTCCTGGCCCTAGTGATTAATGCCCTTCTCTTTTCCCCAACCTAGGAGATACCCAGATTATAAAGAAAGAATATTCCCCGTCAGACTTAAGAAGCTGGATGGCTCTTTTGAGGTTGCCCAGGCATTTGGCTGGAGGAGGAGCTGTCATTGAGGGCCCCTGTGTGCTGGTTGACTGCAAGGTCTCTTGGGCTCTGTCCTTTGTGTCCTGCCTCTGGCCCTCATCTGTCCTCACTTCACTGGAAGTAGCAGTGCAGAGTTCTGTGGGCCAAAGACTGTATTTCACACAAACATGGTGCTCCAAGGAAATGCCTCCCTCTACCCCCACCACCTGATAACTTTTTTTTCCTTTAGGGTGGTAAAGTTTCAGTTACGTATCTTCCTACTTCATAGACCCTTGTGCTGTGGGGGAAGGAATGGGATATTTCTTTCCTTTCCTGTGGTATTTAAGAGTAGGCTGAATCCCACTTTCTGCTTTACTCCCAAAACAAGGAGACTTCAAAAGTTCTTGGAAAAATGAAATTAAAGTGTGAGGTTATTTTGGTGCAAAATTTTTTTGAAGTGCATAGTTTTTTCATAATATACATTTCTGATGAACGTTTTACTTTATTTTTAATTTTTTGTCATAGTACCTGTGCTCTCACCAGAGAAAAGGGAGGGAGTGAGACATTACCCCCCAGGGGGATGGCCACACTGTAGTCCCCTCTCCTCCAGTCTCCTTTTGGGATTTTGGACACTCATGCACATGTGCACCCAGGGTGATATTCCCTTAACCTCCATGCCACCTGCCAACCCCTATAAACTTTTTCTTAAACAAACATTTATTTATTTGTTGTGGTTTTTAAGCCTCAAGGACCAGGACTCAGACTGCAGTCAGTGATTTGGGAATCCAACGCCTTAACCAGCACATACCTGCTGACCACCTCCCATGAGCTTTTTTAAAGTTTTGTTTGTTTGTTTTTATTTGTTTGTTTTTTTGGGCTGGCCCTGCAGCATAGCAGTTAGGCCCTGTGCATAGAAAGCTGGATCCTATATAGCCTGTAACTATTCAGATCCTGACTCCAGCTGCTTGAAACACACCTGGCACGTGTGCATGCCCTAAATCTCAATGGAATGGAAAAATGAAAGAAAAAGGATTGTGGTGCGACCACACCACTTTGGGGTTTTCTCTCTCTTTCTGGCTAGTGTGCGTGCCCTTAGCAATTAAAGAAAAAAGTTTATCTTTTCCATGAAAGAGAGATAAAGGGAGAGGTATATCCCCAACAGGATCATCATACCTCAAACACTCCCACTCCCTTTCCAGCCAGCCTGGACCATATGTTCCTGGCATGCTAAGGGAGCTTCTGGGATATGTACCCAAGGCCTTATCCCATGTGCATCTCGTTGTGTTTCCACTGTTCTACTGCCTTACTATACTGGGCTGGCCCTCTGAAACATTTTGAGAATTCCTCTAGAGTTGTTCCCAGGCTGCTTGGCCCTAGACTCACCTTTGTAAATGGTGGTTTGTGTGGTGGCTACCTGTCCTTGTACTCTGCTTGACTCAGTGGGACAGCAGAGGAGATCCCAAACACCTGTGAAACCAGCATGCTGAGAGTGGAGATGTTGTGGGGATGGAGGCCAGGAGCCTCCAGAAATTCTTCTTGTGACCATCTGGCCAGAGGGAATAGGTGCCCTGCTTTTTCCAGCCCCTAGGTATTGCCTGTAGCTTGGCATTGGAAAACCAGTGTCTAAAGGAAAATCTTTTTTTTTTTTTTTAATAATTATTTTCTTTAACTTTCTTTTTTAATTTTACCAGAAAGGGACAGAGCAAGAGAAAGAAAGTGAAAAAGCAAGCTGCAAGGTCCGGGACTCAAACTATGGTCGGCCATGTGGGACAGTGCCCTTAGCCACCATGCTACCTGCCGGCCCTTAAGGACAAATCTTGTAGACACCAACAGTGGCCTCTCCAGGGCTTTTAACAGAAGATCTGGCCACTGAGCAAACTTACACTCCAAATCTCAAAGCGGGATGAGTTGGGTCAGGGAGTCTGGCGGGGAAGCAGTAGGAGGAAGAGTGAATAGATGCAAACTCTGGCCGGCCTTGATGCACCTAGCTTGAGGGGCTCTGGCTTACTGCTAGGCAGAATAGATGCATCACACCATAAACTCGGGGGGTCAGCTGCAGGTCCAGAGGAGTTGCACCCTACAGTAAAAGGGTCAGGTCCCTGGAAACCCTGCACCCATCAGCTTCAGGGTCTCTCGAGATGACAGGGGCCCGAAGGCTGCCCACTCTTTCTTTTTGGACACTTTGTTCTCAGTGGCTTCTTCATTCTAGTTGCCCTCCCTGGGTCTAAAAGACTCATCAAGAGAGGTGAGAGGGAAGGCACCCTCTGGCTGATGGATCCTGCCCAGGCCTGTGTGAGGCTGGATCCGGATACTCCAACTACAGTTGGCTCCTGGGAGCCTCCCTGCTGGGTCCTGATGTCAGGCTGCCCCTAGTGGCCACTCGTAGTATTGCAGGACAGGAGCCACAGCACTGTCAAACACTCTCCATAGTTAAAGTGATTTTTGAATATCTGTCATCCAGTGCCTTTTTTTTTTTTTTTTTTTTTGGGGGGGGGGGGTTTTGT